GGGATGCTCAAGCGTTTATGACAGCAATAGTGAAGGGTCCAGCTACTTACAGGTTAGAAAATATACTTTAATTTTTAAGCTAGCCAAGAAAGGAGCCTTTTCCCTTATGTACTCTTGAATTAAGGAAAGCTTCTTCAGCACCCGAGTCCACGAATGTCTCAAAAGCAGGAAACACGCAAGCTCCTGCTAATGTTTGCTAATGTCTGGTGGCTGACTGAATGGGTGGATACCCCTCAGGAGACCCATCTTGAATTCAGGAGGGCTAGACCATGAAGCCCCCAACCCCCTAACCATTTCCCAAAACGCCAGAAATGTTCTTGCACTCACCTGAATTTAACCTTTCCAATATTTAGCCCCATCTGCCTGATTCCAAAACCTATCAACCCAGCTACTGATTCTCATCTCCCCACCGCGTCCTCCTCTGATGTGACACACTGTCACTGGGCTTCCCGGCTTCGGCGCCAGGCTTCAAACCTGTCTTTACCCATTGTTCAGTTTCCTGTGAGTCAAGTTCAGCCAGGCTCCGTGCACTACAATGATGGTCACAAACACAATCTTTTGCAGACACCTGGGAGGCAGCGCCGCCTGTCACCCACCACCAGATCTAAACGGGAGAAACCGAGGGGCGTTCCCATTCCAGAGGCTCTGGGTGGCCGGGTCGCTGGGGAGTCCCTCTGCCGGGGAGCGCCCGGCCCTCCGCAGGCGTGGCCGGTCTGGCCCGGCCCCTGGCCCGCCCTGGTCGCCTCGAGAGAGTCCCCGCCCGGCCACCGGCCGCCAACCGCGCTTCCTCCGTGCCTTCCCTGGCTCTGCTTGCTCCGGACGAGACCCACAGAGGGGGATGCTACGGGCACCACCTCCTAGGGCAGCTGCGCCTCTCCGCTCACTCCTGATTCTTCAGCCGCGGCAGCCCGGGGAAGTTGCCTCGTGAGCCCGCGGCCCCCGGGTCTCCTCCTCCTGAGCCCCGCCCCCCGCCCAGCGCGGGGGACCGCACAGCCGCTCGGCCCGGGGGCGTCGCCGTTCGCTCTCCGGAGCCCGCGGAGCCCGCGAAGCCAGCGCTGCTGGCGAGCGTCCGCTTCCCTGCCAGCAGCGCGCGTGGCTCGGCGGCCCGGGGACCCCTTCGCAACCCCGCCACGGCGCGCGCCCAGAGCGCGGGAGCCCGGAGCACCGGGCACCTGGGATCCCGAGCAGCCGCTGGTCAGCCCGCGGGGCTCGGCAGGGATGCGGGCTGTGCTGTGAGACCGGGCGCCAGGGCCATGGCCGGCGCCCGCTGCCGGACCCTGTACCCCTTCTCTGGGGAGCGGCACAGCCAAGGTCTGCGCTTCGCTGCGGGCGAACTGCTCACGCTGCTCCAGGTCCCGGACGGTGGCTGGTGGGAAGGAGAGAAGGATGACGGGCTCCGTGGCTGGTTCCCCGCCAGCTACGTGCAACTGCTAGAGGTGAGAGGCCAGGGCTGGGGGTCGAGGACCAGTTACCCTCCAGACCTCCCGGCTTGGGGTACGAAGGGTGCGGGGGAGGGGCTGGGGCGTGGACAGCGTTCTCCTCCTACCCTGTCTCCTGAGCACGTCGTGGCGGCTCAGGGGAAGCGAGAACTTGTTGCCTGTGCGAGTTCTGGAGCTGGCAGGCGCGCTGCCGCGGATGACAGGGGCCACCAAGGGGCCGCCGAGCCTGGTAGTCTTGGCAAGGCGCGAGGGTGATGGGGGTTTGGAAAGGTGGTCCCACAGTCCTGCCTTTCCAGGAGACTAGCGGTCAGTCATACTGACCGGGAGAAGGCTGCCTGGCTGCCTCTGGGCCGCCCACTTGCTGGACTGCTGAGACGCACCAGTTAGCAATGAGCTGGAGCAGAGCAGCAGGCTAGACCTTGGGATGCAGCTAGACTCTAGGCAGCCTCCCATCCTTTAGGATCAGTACCCTAAAGTGGCTTGTTCTTGGGGATCTGGCTTGGCCCCAAGGCTTCATAGGATTGCTGAGCCAAGTCAGCTGGCTGTTTATTGTCTGGGTGACAATTGCGAGGCCTCTTTGGCCTCTAATCACTGAGCTCATGGTCACAGTCTGAGTGAAAGCCCAAGTTTCTAAAGTCCTTTGTGTGTGTGTGTGTGTGTGTGTGTGTGTGTGTGTGTGTGGTGTATGGTGGAGTGGGGTGGTATTTTTCAGTCCTTTTTACAGGCTGCTGACCCCAGGATTGTCATAAAGACTAAACTAGCCCTCACCCTCGGTAATGTATGTATTCTTAGGTTTTGGTAAAACCCAGTCTAAGTAAGGAACCAAATTTATTGTTTTACTGGGACCTATTTAAGAACAGCGTAGCAAATTTTGAATGAAAATGCTACATGCAACTCTGGCCAGGATGAGGTGGAGAGATGGTTGTAGAGTGGTCAGGCCTGACAAGTGTCCAGTGGCAGCATCATCAAATGTCTATGCTGTCTTCTGAAATACATGATGCTTCTCTCGGGCCCAGGAAAAAAACTTGCTCTAAATAGACCATGGTAGTCCTCAAAAATGTACCAGTAGTATTTCTAGGTGAAAGGCTGGAATGAGCTTCCTGGGGTCTTAGCAAAAGTGTCTCTGGGAGCTCATGGTACGCTCTAAGAACCTGTAGCTGCAGAGGAGGTTCAAGCTTGGTTTTCTACTTTTCCATCTCTGAGGGCTACATTAAAACAAAATTAATGGAAGAATCCTTTAATTCTCCTGGCAAACAAACAAACAAACAAACAACCACCTCTCTGAGAGGCATGTGTGAGTTCTTTTGGTGGACACATTTCCCCAGGAAATACTGATGTGGAAATTTGCCTGGTGATTGTCTGTCTGGTGAGGAGTGTCCCTGACTGGATTCGGCCAGCACTTTTGGGTGGGGATTCCTAAGAACAAAGTGCCCCTGCTTTTCACTGGAGGAGGGAAGGGAGCACAAACAGACCCAGAAGACAGCAGAATTATCCTCTGGGGTGGCCTGCGTGTGCCTGTGGCATCCCTTGGCGCTTATGGAGCTAAGAAGTCTCTGGTACCTAAGGACTTTTCAGACACTTCCCATCTACTAACAGCACCTCGGTGCTACCAGGAGGACCCTCCAGTTGTACCTACACAAGCTATGTGGACTGTTGTCAGTTTCCTGACAGTTATGTGAAGGTCTTAAATGTTGTCCTCCGTATAGGAAACTTGATTTGTCTTAAGTCACAGTCTTTCTATGTAGCTAAGGCTAGCTTCAAGTTTGCAGTCCTCTTGCCTCTGCTTCCAAGTGCTGGGATTCCAGGCTCATGCCTCTATGTCTGCTACTGTCCTTGTTTAACAGATAGAGAAGACATGACAGCATTCAAAAAGCAAGTCTGTCACCCAAGGAGTCACGTTTACCTGTTAGCCTAACAACTCAGGTGGCTAAATAAATTCCTTGTGCATTTTGAAGCCCAATCACCTGGACTAAGCTAAAGGAAGGATTTAGAATGATGTATGTGGACAAGAGTGGGCATGCCCCTCCAGGTGGCGTGTTGGTGACAGTAATATTAATATGACCTGCAATTCTGGGACCAATGAGAGGATAGCTGCTGCATCCTGGGGCAGCCAGGACCTCCCCTGCTGCCATCTCTGAAGTCTGAATTCACCTATAACCAGCTGATTTTCCCAAGGGTGAGGGAAAGGGGGGACCTAGCCCTACTGCCCAAATACTGACTAGGATTCTCTCAGCACCAATATGGAGGCTCATGGATCAGGTTCTTGGTGGCTTGTAACCTCCTATGAGAACAAGCTGGACCGCTAGGCAGAGGGCTGGGGAGGGAGAGAGGACATGCTGTAGAGTCTCTTGGGATGGGCTGAGTTTCATAGATGGGGGTAAGTTGAGGAATAGCAGTGGGTAGAGTATGAACTTCTGAGACTACAAAGCCTGGCAGCTGCTGGGAGACAGAGGAGGGCCTGTAGACTCAGAAGCTGGTTCTGCTGTAGAGGAAGAAGTCTAAACAGAATGGACCCTGTCAGCCTCCCTGGGAAGGGATGGGGTGATAGGCACACAGCTGAAGAATTGGATATTGCTCACAATGTTCCTTTCGCCCTCTGGTGGAAAGAGGGATAACAGGAAGTGTCTTAGAAGAGGATGTGAGATAACTGACAAGAATCTGCAAAGTGGACTCTCTGCACAGATCTCTTCCTGGTTCAGACAAAGGACGGGAAGCTAGAGGTTCAGCTTTGCAGGAAACACTATGGAGGAGAATTGGGAGCTGAACTCAGAAAGGCCTACTAGAGTTGCCTTGGAGATAGCCTGTCTCAAATGAGAGCAAGGTTCAGGAGGACCTGGTCATTGGGGGAAAATCTCTTTGGTCAAGACTCTCAGGAACTGGAAAAATGTTACAATGGATATCTGAATTACCGAAGATGGACTCTAGAGGACCTAAGCCAGGACAGAGAAATATAGGACCAAGGAACCCTGGCCACAGGAGTTCTGGTTATTCAAGGTGTGGCCAGCCCTTTTTAGGGCACCTATTCTTCCCAAAGGTATGAGGTCTAAGCTAGTTAACTTCCCTTTGCTTCGTCAGGGCGCTGAGATAACATTTGCAAGGAGGAAAGTGTATTTTGAACCTTAGCTTAGAATTTTCAGTTTATGGTCAGCTTTTAGTCCAGTAAATTTTGAGTGCATGGTAGCAGAAAATATCTCATAATGGCCGGGAAAGGAGGGGGAATTGTGGTTTAACTCTCACCATCCCCTACTAGGACCTACTCCCCAAAGGTTCCACCACTTTCTGGGAATCCCACAGGCTGGTTACTGTATCTTTAGCAAATGGGACTTTGGGGGGGGGGAACCTTTAAGATTGCAACCATAACCAGATCTACCAGCTGACACCCAAAGCTGGCTGTGGTGTGTGAAGAGCCAGGGAGGAGAGCAGCCGGAAAAGCCTTTCTTGATGGCACCCTTCAGCCACAAAGTAGAGCAGCAGCAGAGAACTCCACTGACATTGTCTGAGACATACAAGAGAAGGAGAGTAGATGGATGGGGGAGAGGAGGCCAGGCTGGAGGGTGGACAGTACATGCCAGGCCAGCTCCAGGCCAGGCTCTGGGTCATCTCCATAGACTTGTGAACCCATACAAGGGATGATTCCCACCAGCCCTCAAGGGTGCAGGCACAGCTCCAGGGGAAGATAGATAGAGTGGGGAGGTGGACTCTCTATCCCCAGGAAGACTTGTAGAGTCAGGTGTGGTACCAGTGTAGGCACGCAGGCTGGTCAGGCCTAAATAGACTCGGGAATTCCTTCTGGTCTGCTCTTTCTTGGGATAGAAGTCAGGCCTAAAGGGTGGTGTAAGATCTCAGTAGAAACACCCAGAATTCGGGGAGATGTCCCCAAATATCTATATTGAAAACTTAGCACTCAAAAACAGCAGTATCAGATGGTATTAGGTTTTGAAGGCTCCACCCCATGAATAGACTGATGCCAGTTATTAAGAGGCCTGAAGGTGTATAGTTTGAGAGCTTGCCCTTCCTTCCTCTCTCTGCCTTCTACCATGGGATGATGCTATAAGAATACAGAAGATGCTAGCACCTCAATATTAGACTCCACTGCCTCCAGAACCATGAGAAACAAATTTATTTTATAAATCACCCAACTTGTGGTATTCTCTAACAGCCATTTAAAATGGAGTCAGCCTCACACTCAGACTTCATTAGTGCTTGTCAGTGGGTCAAGGCTGGTGCAGAGGGCAATCATTGAACTCCATCGCCTCTCTTTTCCTTCTTTGCTCACCCTAGGGACATGTGATCACGTGGTGGGTGGTTATAAGGAATAGCTGTGGGGGTTGATGGGCTGTGCTGTGAATAATGAAGAGATGGACTTTTCTATTGCTAAGTAACAGAGCACCCCAGAATCCGTCCTATCTGACTCAGTGGCTGCAGCTCAGCTGGGCGGGTCTTCTGTTCGTTCACCTTGTCAGTCTCTGTGCGAAGAGATCTGCAGTCAAATGGCAAAGGAGGATCGAGTCCTGGAGACTCCATTCGGCTGAACTCAGAGAAGTGCCAGTTTGCCTCACCTGGTTGTTCCATGTGACCTCTTTCCACATCGTGTTTCTCCTGCAGGGCATTTTCACTTGGGCTTTCTCTGACAGGTAGTTAGAGGGGGTTTGCTGCTGTTGTATTTTTTGTTTGTTTGTTTTGTTGTTGTTTGCTTTTTGAGATAGGGTTTTCCTGTGTAACCCTGGTTGTCCTGGAACTGGATCTGTATTCCAGGCTGGCCTCAAACTCAGAGAGCTGCCTGCCTCTGCCTCCCAAGTGCTGGGATTTAAGTTCTTACGTAGTCTAGTGGCCAGCTTCCAAGAGCACAAATGGATAACTTGTTGGGCCTTCTTAAGGCTTTAACCCAGGATGAGCACATCACTCTGCCTGCTGTTGGCAAAGTGAGTCACAGGAGCAGTCTGGCAGTGGCATGGAAAGGAGGTAAGTTCAGTCTGGGAGGCAGGAGCAGGGTCTGT